TGCTATTTAACCATGACTCTGAGATCACCATAAAATCAGGGTCAGAATAATTTGCCCATATTCTTAGCATGTCCATCTTTGGCAACAAACTTCTAGCACTGATGTGCACCATGCCAAGTCCTTTACGCGCCCTAAAGTTACTTGAGCTCGCTGTAGCAGGCACTGGACAAACCACAATTGGCGTAACCACATGTCCTAAACTTGACGTGTCTGTAGATAGTGGAGAGATAGCAGGCATAGTTGAGGAGTTAAAGAAAGATGCAGAGAAGTTGTTGAGTGGCGTATAACAGGATATGTAGGTGAGATTAGATAGAATCACCCCACGCTGAGAAGAACAGCGGGCTCGAAAATGAGATGAAGAATTACAGGGTATAACCTGAATAGCAGAAATATGGCTAGGGCCACCTGTGCCCTTTGAGGCATTTAGCTGGCAAAAAATATATCTGGTGGATAGGCTTTTAGGACCTCTAGAGCAAACAGAGGGCTGGTTGTGAGCAGATGTGGGTGTGAGTGGCAGGAGTAATCTGAAGGGGGAGCCCTCATGAAAAATAGCACGCTGTGGTTCAGTCGTTGGGGGAGGGGGGGATCCGGTGTGAGGGTGGGAGTTGTAGACAGTCAGTCACATGGAAAGGTGTGCACCGCGTGCTGCAGGTTAGCAGACAGCATATGGTTACTCCTCTTACTTGGGTGGATCCCATCACATTTAAAAAGAGAGTCAAGATCCCAGAACAAGTTAAAATTGTCAATAAAACCAAAGCTGTAGATCCTGCTGGCAGATTGGAGCCAAGTGTGAAAGCTGAGTCTACTAACGGCCAGCTCCACGACGCACAGTCGGGATGGGGCCGGATATAAAAACTGACTTTCCACAGCTCTTTAGAGCATCAAAAAGGAGTTTAAAATCATTTTGAGTGCGCTCAGACTCCCGACGGGTGGTGTTATTTGTTCCCACGTGAACAATGATCCTCTTAATTGAGGTTGGGAGAGAGTGCATCATTTCCAGAAATTTATCCAGAATGTGGGGGACTGTGGCTCCAGGAAAACAGTGTGTGGCTGCATTAATGAAGCGACTGTCCCGAGTTATGGAGTCACCGATGATCAATGTGGTGGGAGGAAAGAGAGGACAGGGGAACGAGATGTGCGGGCCACCTGCTAGATGCTGAAGACACTTTGTTGGCGCTGCCTCTCTCGGCTTAGAAGTTGACAGCCCAGAGCGGGGGGTCTGTGCAGGTGGACAGAGGCGATGAGACTGCTTCAGACTAGCTCCAGGGAGACCCCCAGACTGTCTGATTACGGCTTCCTTCCGCAACCTACGGCGGTCATTTACTGCAGTAGAGCGACGAGTGGCCTTACCATGGCTCGCTGCAGAAGCGGCTGAAGTGACTTCAGGGCCCGGTGAGGGGGAAGCTGCCGGTGCATCGTCAGGATGGAGGGGAACAATCGGGAGGAAGGGGGA